TGAGGACGTTTTGATTGACTACCTTGAGTAGTTTAGGCGCTTTAGGATGTGGCATTCCTTGTTGCTGTCTCATCATCCATCCGTAGTTTCGTTGGAAATGCCTTTGTTGGGTCCTAGTCATCTCATCGAAGGGTATTGCCCTTCCTGCATTGTACTGGAATGAATGCCATACATTTGGCCGGCGAGGTTGAGGCCTGAATGTTCTTCCATTATCTGCTGGCCTGAACTGCCTCTCAAAAGGCGGTCCTCTATAGAACGATGTACCTCGCCCTCTACCAGGCTGAGTGTTTGGGAAGAAGGTAGGGGGATGAGGATGCTGCCACATCCCTGGTTTATCCGTATTTCCATTCACTTCTCTCTTACACCTTGCACACAGGACGTCTTCGTCCTTTTTTGGTTCTTTCCCCTTGATTTGTTCAAAGACGCTGGGATGTGGTCTAGGACCCTCTTCTCCATCATCACGACCAACTTGAATTTTGGTAACTTGTTTTTGAATCCAGATTTTACCATGTTTACTCCAAGTGGCTGTGGGAAAGGATTCTCGTCTACTGCCATCTTTTTCTTATCATCGAACGTAATTTGTCCTAATTCAATGGCATCCTGCAATACATGGAGGAAAACCAAGCAATTGTTAGTCAAATGTGACCATGCATTATACCACTTACAATATTTTTTACCCTTAATTTGTTCAGGGTTTGGCAATTTGTGCTTATCGCTCAACTTTATCTACTTATCCCTATATAATTTATCGAATATAAGGTCAGTCTTGGTCACGTCGAACGAGAACGTTCTAGCCTTTATGTTTTCATCTTTTATGGGCTCATCTTTGCCCGATAGTCTAGGTTTGGCCATTATGGGACAAGTACATGTATCCCTTTTGATCAATTCGGCCAAACACATTTTGGCCTGATCGTATGGCTCGTCGTCGATGGTATGAACGTCAAAATTTGGGTCTTTGTAATAAGTTCCTTTACTAGAATTTTTCATTTGTTCTTCCTCTCTTATCAATCGCTCATACCTAATCACATTCGTACTTAACTGGAAAAGGTCAGGAAACTCCTTGTCCTGGAACTTCCTTTTTAAATCAAAGCTCAAGCAGCCCTGAGCGATTTTGACAAATTCTTTTTCGGGCAAAGGTACAAAACACTTACTTCTTGCCGTTTTGAACCTTTGGAGAAAACTTTCTGCCCACTCGTTTGGCATTTGACGTAGATTCGCCAAATCAGCCAAGGTGACTTCAGACTCAGTTTTATAAAACTGAGCGTGAAACAATTATTCCAGTTGTTGCCATGTTTGAACAGAGTTCGCTGGCAAGTTGATGAATCAGGAGAAAGCTACTCCTGTTAACGAACTAGGGANTCTTTTTTAAATCAAAGCTCAAGCAGCCCTGAGCGATTTTGACAAATTCTTTTTCGGGCAGAGGTACAAAACACTTACTTCTTGCCGTTTTGAACCTTTGGAGAAAACTTTCTGCCCACTCGTTTGGCATTTGACGTAGATTCGCCAAATCAGCCAAGGTGACTTCAGACTCAGTTTTATAAAACTGAGCGTGAAACAACTGTTCCAGTTGTTGCCATGTTTGAACAGAGTTTGCTGGCAAGTTGATGAATCAGGAGAAAGCTACTCCTGTTAACGAACTAGGGAAAAGCTTCATTTTATGGTAATCGGTTACATCACCACTTTGCAATGTGAATTGCCCTATGTGTTCTAGAGTGGACACCTCTCCTTAACTGGTAAACAGTGAGAATTCTGGCACTTTGTACCCTCTAGGCCATGGATATGCTTGGTCTACCCAATCAGGATATGGCTTTGTGTACGTCGGCCTAATGACAGGACGCACCCCAAAAGCCATCTGATCCTGTACGATTTCCATAATCTGGTTCCTCAACATGACGTTGGGGTCATATGGAATTCCTACAGGTTGGTTAACCAGTTGATTTGCATGAGGCCTGATGTTTGGTCTTTGACTGGCAACAAAATTACCATGATTAGGGCCATTACCATTAGCCTGAACATCTATTCCCTCATTAACACGTGGAATATTCTGTCCATTGCTTAGGACATTATCTCTCACGTTTGGATTACCCCCCAAGTTAGGCATACCACTATCATTGTTTTGATTTGGTACTGTAGTACCCCCTTGATTTGAAGTAGAGGGACCAGGAAGCGGTTCTACCCCTTGATTCGGATTTAGGACCGAGGGATTATGTCCCACAATTGTCCTAGTTTGAAAGTGGTTTGTAAGAGGTATAGCTGGTTGACAGATTTGGCTTACTAACTTATTCATTGTTTCGTTCAACGTCTTTAGTTGTTTGGCCATGTTGTCATAGTGTGCATTCCCATTTTGCGTAAATCTTTCCATATTATGAATACTTCGAAGATTTACCTGTTCAACGACGTCTTGCGTGAGTTCTCCAAGTAATGCACGCATGGTTCGAGGACTCAACTCCGTCATTGGTTCGTAACGACTGTTACTGCTCTGATTCTGTTCATCTGTTCGTGGAGAGGCATGCTGCTCCTCATATCGCTCGATCACAGACTGGATTCCTCTCTGACTTGCTGCTTCCTTATTGGATCTCTGAGGTATATTGTTTCACCTTTTGTACTTTCAACACCTAACACCACTGTCCCACTGGGCGTGCCAAATTATTTTCGCGCGGGTTAGTTGCTAACAATTAAAAAGGATCAGACGATTGTGTAAGAGACAAACCTCTTGAGACAAAGTCCCAAAAAGGGGTGTTCTTTTATTGGCGATGACTTTACAATTGGAAATGAAAAATAACGTGCCTCCAAGGGGCGCAAGCACACGAGTTACTGAAAGAAAAGTGTTTAAATCTAAAAACTAAGGAAATGAAAATTACATGTTCTCTGTTCGAGAGTTTTTGATTCGATCCTTTGCTTTTATGTCCTTTCTTCTTTTTATACTTCATGGACAATCTCTTTGTGATCAACCGCCCTAAAAACTGCTTGATCGTCCTATAACTGCCCACTTTCTTCGTAATGGCCAACTTGTCATGAAAACTGCCTCCTTTAACTGCTACCATTACTCTTCATCGTTCAACCGCTTTCGATTGAATTCCTTGAATCGTGGAACGTGATAGGGCTGCTCTAATAACTGCTTTGATAACTGCACTTCTTGATAAGCGCGACGTTTTATATTTGTTAAGACCTTAGGTGACTTAAAGGTTTGGGTGAGAATAGAGTAATAGCTCTGGGCGACTGTATGACACTCCATTCGCTCAGATTCTGGGCGACTTGCAATCTTGGGCGATGGCGTTACCGCGTTCTTCGGCCTCCTCATTTGGGCCTTCATCTTGATTTGTTCGATTGGGCTTCATTCTTTGGGTTATCTAATTTGGGGATCCTCCAATTGGGCTTCACTCCTTGGGTTGAATTTTTTTGTGTCAACAATAAGAATGATAAATTCATATGGTGGTTAATATATGGATTTTTGTTCTCTCTTGTTCCAATCCTTAATGTTGATTATGCCACATGGCAGCAAGGTAGTGGAAGCAAGAATTGTGCTAGTTGAGTATAATGGGATCATCTGAGCCGTTTACTCCTTTGGCATAGCAAGAAGCTACTAGTTGAACTTTAAGACTTTTCAATCGATTGATTTTACTACTTTCTTCTTTGAAATCTCTTCGGTGAAGGTTAGACAAAACTCTCAAATCGAATCGGATCGAACTGAACAGATTCGAGCAATTCTTCTTAAATTAAATATCCAAACGAGTATCTAAATCGAGAATCGACGAATTCCATTCGATTCTCGATTCTAGATCAATAATCGAAAAATCGAATAAGAATCGAATCTCCTTAATTTTTTTAATTTATTTTTTTAAGTAAGTTACATTTATTTATTTTTTTTAAATAAATTTGCTAACAAGTTAATTTAGCTCAAACTCAAAAATATGATTTTTACTATTTCTAATTTTCAGTCCAAGCCCAATTGAATTAAATCAACCTAAGTTTTCCCCAAATCTATTATTCTACTACAGTGTCGTTTCTATCGTTGTGGAGAAATTGAATTGAAGCTCGGCTGCTTGTCTCTTAAATATTTTAAACTCACTATCATAATCTTCATATAATTTTAACAATCAATTCTATAAAAAAAAACTCAGCAAAAAGAGAAGCAAAAGATATATAAGATTGTGCGATTTTATTTTGTAAAAGTTAAGATTGAACATGTCATTAGTTGAACTAATGTAACTTTATAAATATTAAAAAAATTGATTATAGTACAGAATTTGGGAACCGAATGGAACCGAACCCGAACAATTTTATAATTAAATTTGAATCCAACGGTTCCACTTACTAAATATCCAAAAATTATGGGTAGAGCCGAACCGAACCGGACCTTGTCCACCCCTATCTCTAGTTGTTGATGACTATTCTTCTTTTATTTTTGTTTGAGATTTAGGCTAGATATTAGGAAAATTTGAAGAATCATTATATTTTCATGATTCTAATTTGTTGGGTGATTTGTCGGTTTAATTTCAAGTTGATTAATACTTGTGCAAATCAGTTAGTTAGCTTCAATAGAGACACATGTCAATTTGATTTAAATAAATAATCGTATCAATATGTAAAATTGAAGTGTAATTATAGACTTCCATACACATCAAAATCTAATCCAAACACATCACGTAACCATAATTAGATAGCATTAAATCATCTTCTTAACGTTAATTCCTCCCCAAAAAAGTCTAGGCCATGTAGATTAAGATTAGAACTTTTTCAGATTTTATAAAAATTGATGAAATGCGTGATAAAAAATTTATGGACCCCATGAAACATGTGGATAAAATTAATTATTGAAATTGACTTTAATAAAAATCTAAATTTCAATTTTTATCAAATAGGGGCAAGAATTGAACTTCTTGATTATCTTGAGGAGATTGTTTTAGGATTCTACCTATAAATGGAAAATATTTACGAATATAATCTATGTAGTATTAAATAAAATTAAATAGTATAATAAGTAAAATTCTATAAATATCTTATTACATAATATTTTACAGCGTGAGTTACTGAACAAGAAATTTATTTAATAAAGATGTAGTGGAAGTCGAGGTTCTATGATAATTTCAAGAGCGACTTTTGGATGTGTGGTCAATCCATATATCTCCTCTAAGCATACATCTTTGGGCTTAATATTCTGAGGCAATTTCCAGTTAAATCCATGTAACAAGTTGGCCAATGTTGAACGAATAATCTTAAGTCCCAAATTGTACCCGGGACACCTCCTTCGACCGGACCCGAATGGTAATAGAGCAAAATTTTGTCCTAACATATCAATTTTCTTGTCCAAAAACCTTTCTGGCAAGAATTGTTCCGATGCATCCCAGAATTTGGAGTTCCTTCCTATGCTCCATACGTTTATAAGGACTGTCGTTCCTTTACAGATATCGTAACCTGTTGGTCAAAAACTTTCAAATAATAAATTTTTATATTATTTTAATAATATAACCTTTTAAAAATACTAAGTTCAATTCATTTTGTTACACAGTTATGAAACTTGTACATTTGAGGTAAAAAAATAAAGAGCGTTTTAAATTTTATGAAAAAAATGAATTATCTCTACACATTTTAGAGCATTGATGACAAAATTTAAATTCTTTAGACGATATAGTTAGACTTAACCTGATACATTGCAGTCTTCAATGGCAAAATGTGGAGCGAGCAGCGTACCAACTGGATGTAGTCTGAAGGTTTCTTTGATTATAGCTTCTATATAAGGCAATTTGGGGAAGTCACATTCTTCCACCCATCTTTCTCTTCCTATAACTCTGTCAAGCTCTTCTGTTGCCTTCTCAATTATGTGTGGTTTTTTAATAATTTCATGAAATGCCCATTCGACTGTGGTTGATGAGGTGTCTATGCCACCTGTTAGTAGGTCCTGTCACAATTTGAAAAAGTGAAAATTTTAGAATTATGCCATTTGTACAATTTTTTTTTATTATTATTATTATTATTTTTTTTTTTTTTTTTTTTATTATTGTTGACACCTATAGTGGTCTCAGAAAATCAATGGCTGTAAATATTTTTTTTGTTCAAACTATCCAATTAGGAAATGATATGTGGTGGGATGTCAACTAAGGTGTAAAAAATAATGAACACCAAGCTTGATTGAAAATTTTGTTACAGAACTTCTCACTGGAAAAAATGATACAAATTTCTCTGTATTTACCTGCATTAAGCCCTTGACACAATCCCTTGTGAGTTTAACCTCAAGATTAGGATCCTCAGAAAGCTGCAGCAAAACATCTGCCATGTCTTTAGGAACAAAATCCTTGACATTTGCATCCCTTTTAGCCTTGTGATCATCGAGAACATATTCGTGAAATCTGTTGAATTTTTTGTACAGATCCTTCATTTGCTTAACATATCCCTGCAAGTCCAAGAAACCTAACCAGGGTATCCAGTCTCCAATATTGATCACACCATTCAACAAAAACCACTGGTCTGACAACCCTTGAAGTTCATCTAGCGTTATTACGGAACCCTGGTCATCGCATTTTGATTCACTGAAGTATTTGTTGCTTAGTACCATCCTTGTTATAGATGAGAGACTAAAACGAGATAATTGTTCTCTCAGCACAATTGGGTTCCCTGAGAGAGCATAAACAATTATCAAAAACAAGAAATTAAGCATTGTTCTCAATGTATATAGTTTATGTAAGAAGATTGTGCATGTCTGGCTAAACTTGAAATACATAGAAGTAACTTAATTACTTTCTGTTAATCAGAATTGAAACTATAAGTGCCTTCTCTTAAAATCAAAAGTACTTAATCTCAAAACAAAAGTTTACTAAAAGAAAGTTAAACTTCAAAATTTACCCAATGTTTGAGTAAGTTTACAGAAAGTAAAACTAAAATAAGTAAATGTTGGGCAAATTGTTGTCAAATGACCTCCAGGGCAATGACGTAAACCCAGCTTCATTTATCGTCCGCATTGATCGAATGACTGAGCGGTATATCAACACCTAAATTAAAACGACTTGGCCCAAAAAGTTAATTAGGCTATTTAAAGCAACCAAATTAAGTTGTGTTGCTCATGGCCCGATTATTTGCCTACTTGGATGGCTAATTTTGTTAGAGACCCACTCTACAACCCATTTGATATCAATTGGGCCCAAGACCCATTATTGTAACCTAATTGACTTATATTCTTTGTCAAATTGATGCCTATATATTCATGTTTATTCTTGGCCTCCATAAGACCATGTAATCTTGGGCGACTCTGGTTTATTTTTTTTTTTTCTCTCTGTCGTCTTTTGCCTCATTATTCACCTTGCCTTTGTGGCTTCGTTCTTGGTGCTTTAACATCCCTTTGTGGGGTTTCTCTAAGTGAGTAAACTTTTAGTAATCATAGGTGAAGGCTTTGAGGTCGTTTGGTTTGAGGTGTTTATTTGGACTTGGTAAACTGAGCCTGTAAAACCTTCGTGGTCGACACTAAAAAAGTTGCTTAACTTTAAAATCTTATTCTACTCTCAACACATGTAACTTATTTATTTGAACTTTGACAAAATACTTATAAATAAAATTACTTCTAATCTAGCTTTTTAAGCTTAGCAAATCATTAATCTCACTACTCTTGTGATCAACTTACCGCAACCATTCACTCGAACTTCTGAAAGAGCATAAAGACGAGAAAGAAAGTTATGCCTTTCCTCGATACGAATATATTCATACGAGTCAAGTCGTTTAGAGCAAAAGATCTCCGTAAGATAAATCTTTCGAGCCTGTCTCCAGTGTAATCCATAAGGCGCCCATGTCACATCTGAGAAATTATAACTGGTATATCTACCAGCAGCCAGTGCAGGCCGAGAAGCAAAAACTGTATCGTGTGTTTTAAGGAACTGTTTGGCCATTTCAGGTGATGAAGCAACCAAAACTGGATAAGAACCAAATTTAAGTTGCATTAATTCTCCATATTTTTGGGATAATAAGTGGAGAGATTGGTGTGGGATTGAACCAGCAAGTAGGTTTAGGTTGCCAATGATAGGCCATGGTGTAGGGCCTGGTGGAAGGTTTTGTTTAGGACGACGATAATGGATTATATTTGAAATAATTATGACTAAAAAAGTTAGCCATGTAAAGGCTGAAACCAACCAAGACGCCTCCATTTTTGGTTGTGGATTATATACAGATTGTATTGGGAGAGGAGGCTATTTATAGTTGGAGCTAATTTGCGAAGGTAGATATTTTCACAGTGATATTTCTGTGTTAGCTAACGATGAAAATTTTCCGAGAAATTGCTATTGATATTCAGGCTTTATCTTATGGGGAAAAAGTGGACTAGCACAAGACAAAAGAAACTAGAAGCGCATGTTGACGGTGGAATTCTACATCAGATAACTGTCCAACAATTTCTCTATCCCTCCAATATGGAATCTTCAGTCTTAGTAGAGAAAATTAGAGAAATCGCGCTTTTAAGTTCTAATTATCAAAAATTAGATAATAAATTATTTTATTTACAATTCAAATTTTTTATTCTAAATATATTTTATACAGTTTATGTTTTTATTTTGTTTCCAATTATGTTAATTGGGTAATATTTATCTAATTTTATTTTTTGAATTAAAATTACAATAATTGGATTAACATACATTTTCAATATATTTGGAGAAAACGCATTAATTGTGGTAATATTAATCTGATTTTATTTTTTGAATTTAAATTACAATAATTGGATTAACATACGTTTTTAACATATTTGGAGAGAGAAATAAAAGTCACTTGAATTCTTGAACTTTGATATTCCTGAAATTCTAATCGCGATTTGAAAAAAAAAATTACATTAAATCCTACATTTTAGGCCTGAACACCGAAAAAGAAACAACTTTGAAGGAAATGTGAACTCCATCAAGGAAGACAACATTGTGGCCACTGTAAACGAAATTAATGCTATCAAGGGAAAGGTTCCCAATTGGTGGTATGATACATGTGCAATCGTACATGTGTCATATGATAAATTGTTGTTCAAAACAAACTATGAAGTGGACAGAGATCAAAAGATTCAAATGGGTAACGAAGTTCAATCCAAGGTGTTTGGGGAAGGAAATGTAGAAATCATCTTCACTTCCTGCAAGACCACTACCTTGACCAATGTGCTACATATTCCCGACATGAATGGAAACTTGTATTATCCATAAACAGGAAATATGTTGGTAAAGGATATTCTTGAAAAGGAATGGTCTAACTATGTACTGTTGACAAGTTGAATAATAATAAAGTTGATTTTTCTTATATTGTTGATTCTTTTACTTTGGGCATACTAGAATATGACATATAGGAAAAGGTACTTTGAAAAGGATGTTAAAATCTAATTTGATTTCATACAATGAAAATGATGTATTTAAATGCAAAGCATGTGTTGAATCTAAAATGTCTAGAAAGTCATATCAAAGTATAAAAAGAATTTCTAGTATTCTAGAATTAATTTATATGGACGTCTGTAAATTAAATGACATGTTAACTAGATGTGAAAATAGGTATTTTATTACCTTTATAGATTATTTCTCTAGGTATACATGTGTGTATTTGATGAAGCAAAAACATGAAGCATTTGAAATGTTTAAGGTTTAGTTGAAAGGAAAAATAGAACTTTAGTTGAAATGATAAATGCCATGTTGACCCAAGCTAAATTGCCATTTAATTTATGGGATGAAACATTGTTGAGTGCATGTAGAATTCTAAATAGGATTTCTTCAAAATTTACGATAACTACCATGTTGACCCAAGCTTACGAATTGTGGAAAGGAAGAAAATCTAACATTTGATACTTCAAAGTGTGGAAGAAAACCTAACATTTGAAAACCTAACAATTAACTTGCACTTATCATCCCAACAAGCATTGTTTTAAAGTGTGTGCACTGTTCGCGTAAACGTATTTCGATTTAAACCATCGCAAGTGTATGGTTTGTTAATAAGTAATAAGTGGATTTTGAGTCCGATTATCGTCCCAAAAGGATTGATTTAGTTCAACTTTAATTATCGCAACCTTAATCAAAACAAGAATAACACGACGTGTTGTTATGATGAAAGTATAAATAAAATAGATTACGTATGCAACTATGAATGAGTTAACTAAACGAAATTCAAATCATGATTTATGAAAATTGATGCATTCTAATGAATGATAAATGTATTACGATTGCAAATCCCCAAGAAACAAGTCTTTTTTAAACTTAGTTTTACACTTTGACAATACGGTTGAATTTTGACGAATCAATATTCCTATTTCATTCAACAATCTATCTCGAGTAATGTTGAACCTATTCTCAAATATGACCTGACTATATTTCTATGACAGATGTGAACACAAAAGAATGCATGAATTTTGATGAGCACTTATGAGACGCTCTACTCTTAATTTCATTAATTAATTAATTAATTAATTAATGAAATTAAGAGTAGAGCGTCTCATAAGTGCTCATCAAAATTCATGCATTCTTTTGTGTTCACATCTGTCATAGAAATATAGAACGACAAGGGACCAAATCATAAACATCAATCATCACCATTACAAAATCCTCACCGTCTTCAAACGTTTCGATCTCTTCCTCCTTGTCAACCATCGTATAAAAATGTGTATAGTGAGTACGCCTATATATAACATGTATAGCCATGAGGTCCTCAGTATTCGGCATGTCTAGTGGTACGAACAATTTCAGTTTCTCGCGGAGGCATCTACAGTATAAAATACAAAACGTGAACCATAGAGTTCAGTAAATATGATGATGCGATGATGCATGTGAAGCATACATGAGCCCAAATCCTTATTATAGTGTACCGTATGAGCTCAAAATTAACATGGCTTTTCTTGCGCGCAAACCAATATCAACACATCTGTCGTTGCCCACCGAGACTCAGGATGCCACATCAGTTTATCATATGTACAAATTCAAGGCCACACCTACACATATATACAGCGCTTCAAGTGCCTATCCGCAGTCCCAAGGCGACCAAGGGACCTCCTGACACCGCCTGTATATATAGGTGCCGAACTCCCAATACCCTATCCTTGGCTTCCCTTAATGACCGTCAGGAGCCTCAAGCGGTATAGTTATTCGGACACAATAATATGGTACATCTATAAGGGGATTCACATTTAAAATTTTCAACTGCAACTCAATTAGCATGATAACAAAGTACTTATGATCTTGAAAACGTAATCATACATACATTTTCCAGATAAACTCAATGCACACGTAACATGCTACCATGTCACATAGTAAAAAGAGGCAAGCACATATAAACACATAAATACACATATTAATGTATCTTGTACTGTAGTTGAAAAACATCATATTTACCTTTTTCGTGACTTCCTTGATCAATGTCTGCATTAATACAATAACCTCTATATTAATCATATCTTATCTTATTATTTCCCAATTATCACATCTGAACTAAACTTATAAGATAATATAGGTTATTTAATAGCATACCCCTAATAAAAATAATGATACTATCTTATTGTCTACTAGTAGTAATAATAATAATATAAATGAAATTAACGTTATCGTCATTAACTAAATTCCATAAGATTATTACATGTACAATTTAAGTTAGCCAACACACTACCATATTACTTTCCCATTTCATGCTTGATTCATTTTTCATTTCAATTAACACAAGTATATACATACACATTCATACCCATTAGTAAATTTCTTATTCAATCCATATTCTTCTTTACCACATTTCCATCATATCTTACCATTGACACTATGCATTACAGCAATTTTTTTTTTCATATCTTATCACATAACTAGATCAAAGTAATTTAAGCTTAAGCCTCAAGTACTAATTGTTTTCTTTCTTTCCATTTAAAATTACCATGTCTACACATATAAATATAATAGTGGCCCAATTTTCATAACCATTATCATGATGATATTGACAACTATAATAGCAAGTTATTTTCTATCCCTACTCACTTCTTCTTTCCTACATTTCCCCCAATTGTATTTTATACAATCTTTAATAATGCAAGCAAAATAAACTAAAACTCAATATATCTTTGAGCTAATTTATAAATTTTAAAATTTCCAAAGTTAAGATTTTGAAATGGAAAAATTATAATTTATCTTCCTTGATTTTTATTAGTTAAACTAACTATAATATTATCTTTTATCAACCATTAAATAACCCTAGAACCACACATTTTAATTCGTATTTATAAACCAACTAGGTACTTAAAATAAATAAATAAATAATAAATTAAATAATTATCTAAATAAATAATTTAACTAAATTTTTTTTTCAAAGTAATTAACTTAAAGAAAATACATACATTAAGAAATGAAAATGATGGGAGACAAGGTATGGCAAATCTCACAAGTATCCCCTATTTATAGTTTTTGTTAGGGGTTAATTGTGCAATTTCACAAATTGCACATCTAATCCCTAGGATAATGTGTTATTTTTTTGATTGGTTATAAAATTGCATTTTTAGACCTTGGACCACATATGCAATTATTTCTTTGTTTATAAAATTGTACTTTTAACCCTTGGGCAAATATGCAATTATAAAATTGCATTTTCAATCCTCATAATATTATTTTAATTACAATCCCTAATAACATTTATTCTATCATTAAATTAAGTTCCTAAAATTAAGAACGAACTCTCTAAAATATAAAAATCTTTACTAGAAAATTTGGGATGTCACATTATCCCCCACTTAAAGAAATTTCGTCTTCGAAATTTAAAACTTACCAAATATTCCAGATATTTAAACTTCATATCTTCTTCCCATTCTCATGTTGCTTCTTCTGAAGTTTGATTTCTCCACAAAACTTTGACAAGTGAAATACGTTTATTTCGTAATTGTTTGACCTCTCGGAGTAAAATTTTTACTGGGCTTTCTTCATAGGTAAAATTAGTTTCTAGATCCATTGGGTTATCTGGCAATATATGTGAAGCATCAGGAACATACTTTCGAAGAGCAAGACATGAAACACGTTGTGAATTCGATCCATTGAAGATGCTAAGTTCAACTTATAGGCCACTTTGTCAATTCGTTCCAAGATTTCAAATGGACCAATATATCTGGGACTAAATTTTCCCCTTTTTCCGAATCTAAATACCCTTTGCATTGGTGCAACTTTCAAGAACATTTTGTCTTCGATTGCGAATTCTAATGGTCCCCTTCATCTATTAGCATACTTCTTTTGATGATCCTGAGCGGTAGCAAGACGTTGGCGGATAATT